AGTGTTTAAACAATTCTAGTGTGCTCATTTTCTTTCTCTCTCTACACACACACACACACACACACACACACACACACACACACACACACATATATACATTTTGTGTTATGCTTCCCCCCACACTTAGCAACACATCTTTATAATCTCTTCATATAAGTAACACAAAGAACCTTCTCATTTATATCTGCATGGTATCCACTGAGGGAACATACCATCACATATTTACTTACTCTTCTTAAATGATAGACATTTAAGCTATTTCCAGCCTTTTACTATTATATGCAGGGCTGTTGTAAATCTGTATACGTGTCATTTCTCATGTGTGAGTATATCTTAAGATGTGTTTGGAAGTAGATTGTTAGGTCACAATGCACATAGATTTGTGACTCGGATAGATTTGACAAAGTTGCCCTCCACGGAGGTCGTACCAATTTATGCTCACTTGTCCTGTGTCAGAGTGTCTGTGTCCACACATCCCTGTGAACACATTGTGTTATCAAACTTTTTGTTCTTTACTAATCTTAAAGCTGAAAAATATCTCAAATTGTCTTAATTTGTATCAATTACTATCAGGTTTAGCATAAAATTTTGTTTAAGAAACTCTTATACTGCTGTTTTCCATGAATTTTCTGTTCATATCATGTTTCTATTTATTTCTACTGAATTTTTTCCTTATAGAAGTCTCCAAAAACCAGTATTGTGGAAGTAAGCTTTTTGTCAAATAAATCACAAAACTTTCCCTTTTCTTTTGAATTACTGTGGTTGATATATATAATATTTTTTATAGTTGACTTCATCATTGTTTTCATGACTTCTGTGTTTCGCACACTACTTAGATTTTCTCTACTTAAATATATTCTAGCCACCTTGTCACCAGGCATGATCTCATTTTTAAAAAGATTATGAAATATTTCAACATATTAAAACGTGGAGCAATATATTTTTAAAAAACACATATACTCATTACCAGAATTAATAAATGTTAATACTTTGCTATCTGCTCTAGATGTTTACTTTTCAAAATTAAATGAGGATAGTTCCCTTTGAATGTCTCCCCAGTACACATCCCTCCCCTGCCCCCAAGAACCACTTTCAAGAAGTTGGCCGGTGTGTGGCCTTCTGGTCTTGGTCAAATTCCTTAATTTTGAGAACAGAGAATCCCCTCCTCCCCTAGCCAGTTGAAGCAGAAGGGATTTATCAGTGGAAGGACTGAAGAAACAGAGTCTTGCCTGAGTTTCCCAGAAAGTCTCCCTAAAACCACGCTTCAGGGCTGGGCTGGGCTGGGCTGTGTGGCCAAGTCCGCTGTTGTGGCCCCAGAGCCTTCCTGTTTCTACCACAGTTGGAACTCCTCCACCGCAGCCACTGGCATGGAAAGCCATTCCTGATGTGCAAAACATAGCCCTCTGTGTTCTCTCCCCTTCTGACTCACTTCTAAATCAAGAATCTTGCACAGTTGCCTCTGACAGGTGATCCTAAATTAGATACAGAAATGTCGGTGCGAGGGAGTTTGGTGGGAAAGCTTTTGGCTCTCTAGTTTGTGTGTACACCGGGATCTTAGTGTTGCACAAGCCAGTTCACCATATTTGTAAACTTCCTCAACATTTTAATGTTCCTACCATTACTTTTTCCATGAACAACAGGGTATTGTTTTGGGTATTCAAAAAAATTTGTGTGAATGGTGTCCTATTGCAATTTAGCCTTTTCATTCAGTAGTGTTCTTACACTTTTTCACAGTTGACATCTGTAGCTATGTTTCATTCTTTATCAGTTATTTGTTAGTGTGCAGTACATTAAAGTTGGCTGGCTTAACAAAACATTGAATATCTGGATTTCTGTGGGTACGATCCAAGTGTGGATCCCTAGTTGGCTCAGGGTCTCTCCTAAGGCTGTAATCAAGGTGTCTGCTGGGCTGTGGTCCCATCTGAAGGCCCGCTGTGGCAGAATCTGCTTCCAACACACTCGTGTGGTTGCTGGCAGCATGACTCCTTTGCATCATGGTTGTGGGCTGGAGGATACCCTCACTTTCTTGCCACGTGGGCTTCTCCAAGGAGCAGCAGCTCACAACAGAGTAGCTTGCCTCATCAGAGCAAGCAAATAAGAACAAGAGGGTGTGAGCAAGATGGATATCACTATCTGTAATGGGTTGAAGTATTCACCAAAATTCAGATCCCCTAGAATCCCAGGATTGAGGCCTTATTTGGAAAGAGAGTCTTTGCAGATGGAATTAATTAAGGGTTGTGAGCTGGGATGTTTGAAATCCAAGTGGCCCCTAAATGACTGGTGTCCTTATGAGATGTCATACAGATATACCCAGGCCACATGAAGACGGAAGCAGAAATTGGAAGGATGCATCTACTAGCCAAGGAATGCTAAGGATTGCTGGCAATTACCAAGAGCTGGGAGAAAGGCATGGGATGGTTCCACCCTTAGAACTTACATAAGGAACCACCTTGTCAACAGCTTGATCGCAGATTTCTGGTCCCCAGAACTGTGAGAAAATAAATTTCTGCTGTTTTAAGCTACCCATTTGTGGTCATTTGTTAGGGCAGCCCTAGGAAATGAGCATATTATCTTTTGTAGCCACATCTTGGAAGTGTCACACCATCATTTTTGCCATACATTATTGGTTAGAAGCAAACTACTAGGTCCATCCCAAAGTTGTGGATACCAGGAGGCAGGGACCATTGGGAGAAATGGTCTACCACAATATACCACAGTCTGAGTATGAAGTCACAATCTCTTTATCCATTCTCCTCCTAAGGACATTTAGACTGTTGCTACTTTTTCACTGTGACAAAATCCTAGTGTGAAGATCCTGAAATACATCATTTTGTGCACACTGACAAATTTCTCTAGATCTAGAAGTAAAATTGCTGAATTGAGGAACTTTAGTGGATATTTCCAAATTGCTTTCCATTGTTCTTACCTTCCTACACGAAAGTTTGCAAGTTCACATTTTCTCATCCTCTCATCAACACTCAGTATTGTCAGATGCTAAAAACTTGTTAATCTGAAGGGTATAAAATACTTTGGTTTTTTGCCCTTACAGACTTCTGGGAATTCTTTACATATTTTGCATATGAATGTGTTACTTCTGTAGGTCATCCCTCAATCCGAGGCATGGTTTCTAGCATGACTTGTGTTATTTTGTCATATGGAATTTTTAATTTGTAGATAATTTATTTCTTGTGTGCTTTCTAAAGGCTTTGGTGTCCTTTTAGGAATGTTTCCAGAGTCCCATGTCAACAGGTAATTTTTCACCTACAGATATTTTATTATGTAGATGCTGTGTGCTTATATTTGTACTTATTTCTGTCATTGTCTTATTCATAGTTTATTTTTCCATTTATCTCTTACAGGTTGCATTAGTTACATTTTCTTTTTTTAAATTTTTTTTAAAAAGAGTGCATGAGAGAGAATGTGCAAGTGGGGGGAAGGGGCAGAGGGAGAATCTCAAGCAGACTCCGTGCTGAGCACAGAGCCTGATGCAGGGCTTGATCTCATGACCCTGAGATCATGACCTGAGTTGAAACCAAGTTCAACGTTCAACCGACTGAGCCACCCAGATTAGTCCCGTTACATTTTATTTCTTCACTTAGCTTTCCTTTTAGTGCTTTTAAATTCCATTATTCTTTTATTCCTTTGGCAATTTCCCTTAACTTTTAGGTAATCATTTTGAAAGTCTATAATAAACATCTCTTTTGTCCTCCGCAACATTTAACTTATCCTCTTGTATACCTGCCCCTTCCTGATGATACATCACTATTATTTTTGCCCCACTCAGAATGCTTACTTAGCCTCGCCCAGATAATTACCGACTTCTTTGTTTACCGTTGCTTTCATAACCTACCTCTTTCTTTCTGGACTCATTTTATAGAAGTATATCTTTCAGCATTTCTTTCCACAGGAGTCTGTTTATAATTAACTGTGTGCATGTCTAAAATTGTGCTCTACAACCTCACTCTTGATAGTTTAGATGGGTATGTGATTCTAGGCTGACCGTTTCCTTGCATATTTTGAAGAGGTTATTCCTTGGTCTTCTGGCTGAGAAGTCTGACAGCACTCTAACACTAGTTCCCTTGTAAGTGATGGCTCTTTTCTCACAACTGTTAGGTTTGGAGCTCCACACTATGTTGTGTAGATGGGTTTTGTTTTTCCTACTTGGGGTTCAGTGCGTTCTTTAAATCTGAGGGTGTGTGTGTGTGTGTGTGTGTGTGTGTGTGTGTGTGTGTGTGTGTCAAATCCCGAGGGACTCTCAGGCTTTCTGTGGATAGTACCTCTCCCACTTATTCTGGATCTCCTAATTTAGACATATTTTGAAGCATTTCATTCAACCTCCCATATTTTAATTTTAATTTAAAACCTCTGGGCTGCTGGGCTGTAACTTCAAGTCTTCCAGTTTACCACTTCTCTCTTACGTCTGGCCTTCTGTGAAATCTCTGCAGGAATTTTCTGTTTGTTTCAATGACTATATTCTTCATATCTAGAATGTCTATTAGGTTCTTTCTCAAATCTACCTATTTTTAAAACCACCTTCGTTTACCTTATGGTTTCTATTGCTGCTTTTCTCTCTTGAAACATGTTAGGCAGACTCCCTTTAAAGTCTCTTTCAGATTATTGTGCGGTCTGGGCGGTGCAGATTCTAGATACCGCATGCACTGCTCTACTTCATGATGGTTGAGTTGCTCACGGAAGTCATTTCCTTTTCTTTCCTGGCACGGAGAGGAGAGGAGAGGGCTTTCTCCCACCTCGGTCTACAGTGACCAACCTAGGTCAAATGTCCTCACACAGGAAGAGGGGTCTTTGTTTCCTTAGAAAAAGGGACTTCTGAGGAGCCAGCCCTGACAGCTTTAAATGGGTACCAAGCAGCGAGAAGTTTTCAACATATTCATCTGTCTTTTTGTGACCTTGAAAAAGTCATTTAACTATTAATCTTCTCTGTAATATAAAGGTATCTTATGTTAAGTATTATAAGACTCCAATGAAAAGGTGACACATGATTTCTTAAAAACATAGTTTAATTTCATTTTTATCTGGGGAAAAAATACAACTTTAAAATGAAATGACAAGCACTTTGACATGTCATCATGTGTCATTTTTTACGGTACTACACTTATTCAAAATGTGAAGATACAGAACCTTATAAATTTCTGGAATCAAAGATTCCCACCTCAGATGAAAACAAATTGGTTATAAAATGTCAGCTCACTAAACAGTCCATTTTTGTTCTTTCATAGGGAGTATCTTGTAGAAACACTATAAAATAAGGCAGATTTTTGGGAATTCAATTATTTTAGGAAAAAGGTGTTAGGTCTGAGTTTCGTTGACTTTGGGGAGTCACTGGCAAAGCCCATCAGATGACCAGAGTTTCAGAACTCTGCTTCCTGTACGGAGGAGTTGCTCTCCTTGAGGGCTTTAGACTCAGAGCCTCCCACAAGACCGCTTTTCCCAACTAGCATCAATCAGAAAAGAGTCTAACATACACAAATATTTCTGTAGTGCAGTAAAAATGTGTCATTTTATAGTTTTAATTTGCATTATGAAAATAAGTCTGTACACCGAGTAATACATATTTAATGAATATGAATCATGTAAATTTGGTCATGGCATTTAAAGTTGGCTTTGGCTTTGAAGTATTTCAAAATTCATAGAAAATATTGAACTTCTAATAAAATAAATAAAACATTTTAATAATTGATATTAATCAACTTCAAAATTTCTTTGTATTTAATAATCAACTTCAAAATTTTCATATTTTTCATTTGCTACTCAGTTTCAAAAGAGAAGTCACTTTCAGTAGTGTTCCAAAGTGAGTGATTGCACCTTCTATGATGTGAAAAAGTTCCTAAAGCTCCGATTGCCATGAGCTGTTTGTAAGTGCTGGACACAGTTGAGAGAAATTGTTTGCAACAAGACTATTCTCCGTCACTGGCAGGAAATCCATCAGTGTCCTTTGGAGGGTCCCTCTGAGCTCATAAGGAAAGTTAGTGCTGGTTCTCCTGTGACTTTCCTAAGAGCCCCTGCCGCAGGCCCAATATGGTGGACTAGGTCGCACTTTGCGGCAATGGCATCGGATGGTGGCTGCAGAAGGTCAGCGATGGCCCCATGTGCTTTCACAGGCTCTGCAGACGTGGGCACTGTTCTGCCTAATACTGAAAGGACTCAGGAACTCTGGCTGCCCTCAGGAATTGCAAATGAGTGGAGGGACAAAGCTTCAGGGCCCAGGCGGTGTGACGCACTATTCCGGGGGCGGTCGGAGGCTCCGCAGCTTCATTTCATCCAGTCCTTTCCAGTATTTAAAGTTGTTGTCAAGATGCTGCATTAACTCGGGCAGGTCTACAAAGGCTGGAGAGAAAGCACAGGAACGTGATCTCCTTCACAGCCTCAGATGAGAAGTCCGGGCTGTCTAAGGAGAAGGCATTTTGAGGAAGGACTGGTGGCAGCAAACATCTGCGTCCTGCTACACCAACGCAGCACCCACCGTGCAGGTGGAGTGAGCCCGGGCTACTGAACTCAACTCCCCAGTGAGGGCCCAGCAGCTCCTCCGCCACCACACGGGGAGCTGACAACTCTGGCGGGTGCCACAGAGGGGAGGGAAGCTGCTTGAGCATTTCATCAGCTCCTGGGGGCAGGGGCTGTTAGGAAGGCAGTGAGCCTCCCACCGATGGTCCTGATCGGCTCTCTGGTCCCCCCCGCCACCCCGCAGCTTCTGACTCCACACAGGCTCCACTTACACCATGTCCTCGCGGGCAGGGGGTGGGGGGAAAGGCCACGAGCCAGGAAGCACGCAGGGCCGTGGTGGCTGAAGCCCTGAGCAGGGGAGGGGGCAGGAAGGGCACCCAGGCTTCAGGGGTCCTCGGGGAAGGCAGAGTTCTCCTCCTTAGTCCTCCTTGAGAGTCTAAGCCCCCAAACCCATTCTAGAGCCAGCTACACTATTAACATGTGGCTGCCCCTTTCATTCTTGAGGGAAGCCCACTGGGAAAGGCCTTACCATCCCAAGCATCGAACATGTCTGTGATGAAGTAGTCAATGAAGGAGATCTGGGATTTGGGGATGCTGCAGGTGTTTCTGTCAAAAACTGGCATCACCACAGGTAAGTCCTTCCGCTTCTCCTCATCAGTCTGTAAAGGAGAAAATGTCCGAATTAAGAGACTCCAGTATCTGGCTCTGCTCACCCGGGAGCTCCTGGGGAGCAGTGGCCACCGCTAGAGCCAGACATCCGGCTCTGCCCCAGACAGCAAGTGTGCCTGGAGCGGGGCAGCTCTGTGCCAGGGGGGCCTGATGACCCCCCCCACCCCGCCCAGCTCTCCTTTCCGACACCTGGAAGCTTCTTGCCGAAGCTTGAGATCCCAAGCGGCCCGTGTAGCCCGCGAACATGCTCGGCTGCTCGTCACACCCCGGGCCTCCTACCCTGCAAGCGTTTCCAGCGCCAGGCCCGCAATGGTGGGAAAGAAACCACCCCTTCACAAAGAAGGATGGAGGGGCTGCTTCTCACTTCCAGTCAGTTACCTTATTTGAAAAAGTGCTAAACACCCTTGAGATCCTTGAGGTGGGGGGGGGGGGGAAGCTCCGAGATGAGCAGTTTTTAAGTCCTTTAGTCAGACTCTTCCAGACTGTCTAGGATTCGAGAGCTTTGCAAAAAAATGAAAATAAACCTTTTCCCCCAGGATCTTAATTTTATCTTGAAAGAGGTAAGGGAGCTCCTTTTTAAAAATAAGGTCTTGCTTTCACCAAAGTGTCCTGGAGAAAGGGTGAGGGGATGTCCGCAGTGAGACACGAGGGTCACCGGTCACAGGGAGGGGGGTGGCGGGAGGGGACGGAGCGCAGGGTCCGTAAGGCGGGCATGGGCTCGGCGGGCAGCTCAAAACGATAGGTGAGGGGGGTGGTGACCGAAGGCGCTGGGGCGTCCCCCCCACCCCGGGCTCTGGCACCTGGGTCGTCATCCCTCACCGTCCGAGCAGCTCGCCAGAGCCTGGGGTGCCGGCGGCCGGGCCAGGTGAGGCGAGGAAGGAAGAGAGCAGGGGCTGCTCGGCACTGGAGGGAGGGGCCGCAGGGAGGGCACGCGCAGGGGCGCCGTACGGGTGCCGTAGGGGTGCAGCGGGGAGAGCGGGCACAGTGACCTGGCACGGCCTTCGCCGCAGGGCCTGCCGGTGGGAGCACGTGCAGCAAGAGCCCAGGGCCGAGGGTGCCCGGTGGTGGGGGCTGGGTGGCAGGGCTGCTGCGAGCGGAGAGGGGCCGGGGGAGCGGCCGACTGGGCCGAGGGTTCAGGTGTGCAGCAAGACCAAAGAAAACTCCTCCCGGGGCGCGGAGCTGGTCCCCACCCCCTGCCACTCTTGCCCTTGTACTGGGCCTGGGGGACCCTCTCCGCACAACTCTCCCTGACCACTGGCCGGGAGCTGCTTCCTGTCCCGCGGCCTCGCTGCTCCGCACGCGGGCGGCTCTGAGGCCGCAGGCCCGGCGAGAACAGCGCCCCACACCTTCCCTGGAAGGGGGCGTCACTCCCGCGGCTCTCCACCTGGACGCCCCACTGGAGGGCGGCGGCTAGCGGGCGGCGGGGCTGGTCCGCTGACGGCACGGGGCCCAGCACTCCCGAGAAGCACCGAGGCTGCCGCGGACGGTGCCGGGAGCGGGGCCTGGAGGAGGCCGGCGCTCCCGGCAGCACCAAGAGCCCCTGCTGCTCCGGGCGGTGCTGGCGGCGGGCTCGGGGCGCTAGGGCCCGCCAGCAACGGTCGGCCTCTGCTGGCTGGGGGAAGGGCCGCGTCAGGCCACAGGCTGGCAGCTGTCCAAAAGGGGCAGTCGGTGCACGGAGAGTCTCAGGTTCACGGGCCTGACGGGGCTGCCTGGCTCGGGGAGCTGGGCCCTGGGGGCGGGGCGGGGGGAGGGGGGTTGGCTCTCCTGACATTCTCTCTCGGGCTCTGCCAGACACCGACCCCGCTCTCAGGGCCGCCAAGGCAGACGCTCCCTCAGTCCAGCTTCTGTGGCTCCAGTGCCCGTTCTGGCCCTGCTGCCCCCTCTGCCTGCACACGGGAGCGGCTGGCCCGCTGGAGATCGGGGAGACCTCCTACTCTGGGTCCTCTTAGGCCCAGTGTGACAGGTGCATGGAACTTCTTCCAGGGCCCTTAGGCTCTCCTGGAGACGGTTTTCCCATGAGATTCAAAATGGTAGAAAACATCATGGAGTCTTTACTCACCCCGCCCCAGCACAGTCTTGGTCTGGAAACAGCAGCCCTGTTCCCAGCTGCTTCCCTTGAACTGGAGGGACTAGAGCTAATCTTATTTGCAAAATTCTAACCCGTCTGGCGGCCGCCCAAAGGGCTGGTCTGTTTCACCTAACTCCGCGCTCTCGTGCAAAAATGGCTAGTGTTTGGGAAAGGTGCATGGGATTTACAGACACACAGATGCTGGGGGCAAGATGTTATGGGTGGAGACCTGCAGTAGTGTAAGGCCCCAAGGAGAAGCTGGGAGGACTCCGACAGTACACATTCAAAAGCAGCTGTATATACAGCAGAACTGAGAGGGCCGCACATGGGCCCAGGCCCGACTTGTGCAGAAACGATGTGAGGTGAACTTCCACCTTCGTGTGGGGCTAATCCTGGAGCTTGGAGAGAGCCTGGCTCATTAGTGAAGGACTTCCCAGGCACAGAGCAAACTGCAAAGACTGAAAGATGTGTTCCCTCCCCCCACCCACCAGAACAAAGACTGTGAGAGGTGGGTCGTTCATCCCCACCCCCATGTACAATTTTCAACACAAGGCCAAAGAAACAGAGAACAGCCTATCCAAAAGAAGAAAAGAAGCCAGCAGAAGCCATCCCTGAAGAAACACAGGCACTGGACTTACTAAACAAAGACTCTAAAATAACCATCTTATAGCTGCTCAAAGAGCTAAAGGAAAACACGACAAAGGGCTAAAGGAAATCAGGAAACTGATACAGGAACCAAATAAGAATAGCAAAAAGAGAAAGAAATTATAAAAAGGACCCAAATAGAATTCTGGAGCTGAAAAATAAAAAGAAAGATTTGAAAAACTCACTAGAGAGAGTCAACAGCAGATGTAAGCAGGTGGAAGAAAAAAAAAAGACAGGGCACTTGAGATTCTCGAGTCTGAGGAGGCGAAAGAAAAAAAAACAAGAAAAGTGACAAGAGCCTAACGGACTTATGGGACATTATCAAAGGGACCAATATATGCATTATCACAGTCCTGTCAAGAGAGAAAGGGGCAGAGCCTATTTGAAGAAATAGCCCTAAACTGCCATCACTTGAAGAAAGACCTAAATCTATAAAACCAAGAAGCTAAATAACTCCAAATAAACCCCAAAAGAACCATATTGGGACACATCATAACCAAACTGTCAAAAGCCAAAAACAAAGACTCTTAAAAGCAGCAAGAGAAGAGTGACTTGTTACAAGAAATTCTCTGTAAGATGTCTGGCTGATTTCTCAGAAGCCTTGGAGGCCGGTAAGCAGGGAAAGAAATGATGTAAAGTACTAGAAGACAAACCTGTCAACTGAGAACTCTTTATCTGGCGAAACTGTTCTTCAAAACCGAGGGAGAAATGAAGGTACTCCCAGATAAACAGAAGCGGAGAGGACTCATTAGCACTGGGTCTGGCTTATGAGAAATGCTAGAGGGAGTCTGTCAGGTTGAAGGGAAAAGAAGCCAGACCGTAACTCCAGGTCATATGAAGATGGGACAGTCTCCAGCAAAGGTAAACATAAAGGCAAATATACAAAGCAGTATTACTTTAATTTTGGTTTGTAATTCCATTATACTCTGTAGGACTTAAAAGACACGCATACGAATTACACACATTAATGGGTACATACTGTATCAGTATGTCATCTGTGACATCAAAGTGGGGTGGGGAGACAGAGATCTACAAGAGTTTGTATATATGACTGAAGCTGGTATCAATTTGAAATAAGTTACCTAACTTTAAGATGGTATATGTACTATGCTAACTGCAAAAAAAAAAAAAAAAATTTTTTTTTTTTTACACACAGAAGGAAGTGAGGTGATCAAATGTGTCACTACAAAAAAATCAAACACAAGGGCAGGCAGTAATGGGGAAAAGGAGGGACAAAAAAGCTGTAAGACATAAAGAAAACAAAATGGCAAAAGTAAGTCCTTCCTCATCAGTAATTATCTTAAATGTAAATGGTTTAAACTCCCCAATCAAAAGGCACAGGTGGCAGAATGGACAAAATCCTGATCCAACTATATACTGTCTACCAAAGACTTTCTATCAGATATCAAGACACAAACAGGTTGAAAGGATGGGAAAAGGTATTCCATGAAATAACCAAGAGAGCTGAGGTGGTTATGCTACTATCAGACAAAATAGACTTTTAAGTCAAAAACAGACACAGAGAAGGACACTATGTATTGATAAACAGGTTAATTTACCAAGAAGATGCAACAATTACAAGCCTATATACACCAAACATCAGAGTTCCAAAATACATGAAGAAAACACGGACAGAACTGGAGGGAGACACAGACACTTCTATAATAATAGTTGGAGACTTCAGTTCTACACTTTGGATAATGGACAAAACAGCTAGATCAATAAGGGATTGAGGACTTGAATAATAAAAACCGATGGGACTTCAGAGACATTAAGAGAATATTCATCTAGCAACACTTAAGATAATTTTTCTCAAGCATAAGTGGAACATTCTCTAAGATAAAATGTATGCTGGCCACAAAACAAGTCTCAATATTTTAAAGATTAGAATCATCCAAAGTACTTATTCTACTTGGAATGAAACTGGAAATCAACAGGAAGTAACCTGCAAAATTCACAAGTATGTGGGAATCAAATACTCTTAAACAACCAAGGGGCCAAAGAAGAAATCACCAGGAAAATGATAAAATACCTCGAGGCAAATAGAAATGAAAACACAACATCTAGAAAGTTATGGGATGAGATAAAAGTAGGGCTGACAGGGAAATTTACGGCTATAAGTACCTACATTAAAAAGAAAACTCTTAATTCAACAACCTAACTTTAGAAAGAGAACACACTAAACTCAAAGTCAGCAGAAGTAAAGGAATAACAGACTAGAGCAGAGTTAAGTAAAATAGAGAATAGAAAAATAGAGAAAATTAACAAAACCAAAAA